TTTTATTTAGCATTATTTATTCCAGCATATAAAATATAGCAGTGGTTATTGAGAGTTCTGAGGCCTAAAATATGAACAACCTAGCTAAACTCAAAGCAGCCCACTTATTTTAGAAGTACACAAGGAGAAATTGAAGAGCAATACATTAGTGATGCTAGTTAGACTTTCCCTTTAAGACATGTATTTACTAAGACAGAAATGAATTGTTCTCCAAAGACCAATATGAAACCACTGTAAATTTCTGTACCAACTAAATGTCATTAATAAGATTTTTGTAGTGTGTACATATCAACATGAAACATGTGTCTGCGTGTCTGTGTGTACGTGTGCATGTGTATGTGTCTGCGTGTCTGTGTGTGTACATGTGCATGTGTATATACATGCCACTTCAATTGCTTTTTAAAATGGTTCTGATGTACTTTTTTATAAAACCACCATGGATAACACCGACATCCATTTTTCAGCAATAAATACTCCAAAAATGTGGGGTTTTCTCTGATTTTATACTCCACTTATTTTAGCCATAGAATGCAATGGCTTGAAATTAAAGGGAGACAAAAATAAGAAAGCATAATTAGTGTATCTTAAACCATTATGTGATTTGTTCTGGTAAATCGGGGGAGAGGGGGTAATAAAAAGGCCTCTAAGCACAGGCAGCTTAATGTGTAGGGCTCTTCCTTGGAATATTTAAATTGGGGTAATGGAGATCCATTTCACAAACCACAGACAGCTTGAACACCCACCAGTTAAGGAACAGAAATGCCACTCTCCATATAATCAACTGTAGATGCATTTTATCAAGACTTCCATGAATTCCCTTTTTCCATCTGCCTATGCTTGGTAAGAAAGCTGGATTAAAAAAAAAAAGGTGACAATTTTTAAACTAATTTAAAATTACTTTGTTTAAAAACCTAAAGCTTACTAACTTCAGAGCTATTGGTTTTTATCTATGTTCCAGTACCCTCCTCCAAAAGCATTACCTAGAAGAAAGGTGTTATTAAAGTATATATAGCCCTCTAAATCATAACTTAACACCTAATTCATAAAGAGTAATACATAATGCTGTATGCATAAGACCCTTTGCTAAGAGGCAAGGAGTATATCTAATCCTTGCCACCTAAGCAGCAGCCATCACCATAGCAATTACAGGCTCTGATGCATTAAACATGGACAATATTAAGGGGTTTTTTTAAGAACAAAAGAGAAAATTCCCATTTTCTGCCACGTGTTAATGAACTAGGACATACTGAGTACTCCTTTAGCATGAAATCCTTTCAAACAGAACCTACCACTGAAGATATACAGAAGCTTGAGCTGATATATACAGTGAGTCCCTTTTTGGATGATAGAAGCAAACTAGTCCCAAAAGAAATATAAAGGGCAGTAAGCTGGGATATGCATCATTTGAAAGAAAGTCGGCCATCAAAGGACTGTCATGGCTTCTATTAGGTAGGGGAGGGCAGGGGAAGGACACATTGGGAACTCAGTGCTTCCTCATCATCTCCCCAGCAGCCCTGGCTACCTTCTTCCTCTTCATCTCCCTGAGGTTTGCCTTTTGGAATCCTTAGTGGAACAATGAGATAAGAATCAAGAGAGCCCAGCAAGGGTTAGGGTGCCTAGAAGGTAACCATTTTCTCACACTGGCTTCTGTAGGCCATCTTGTTCCTTCAAATACCAAGATGTCTTAATTTGTCCCAGGTTCACTAGGGGCAACAACATCGCTGGTCTAAAACTAATGCCCCTTGGTCAAATGACTAGCAATAGAGCTCTGTCAGGCAAATGGCTAATTACTGCAAATTAAGAAAGTCCCCATCCCTGCAGTGAGGCACATTACAGGAAAAGGAACAATGGACAGTTCTAGAAAGGAGAATAGCAGTATGCGTTTTAAAAATTACATAGTCCATCTTATTTTTGGCCAATTGAAATCGGTAAGAATAGGAAAGGTGAGTGGTCGCCTGGGAAAGAAACATACATACACACGGTGGGAGGGGGGTTCTGTCAAACATACATACACACCGGGGAAGAGGGTCCTGTCATTTGTGTCCAGGGGGTTCACGAAACATTGAAACATTTAGGGAAAACGCCTTTGTTCCCGGGCTCGCGAGGGGTGTGGGTGGATGGATGATGGGGAGATCTGATGGGGCTGCCTGGCCTTCCACACCCTGCTCTCCGGCGCATGCGCGAGGCCAAGACAAAGGAATAGGTAATTACAGCCCGATTCATTCATTTTGGCCGCAATACTATAGGTCTGTGAGACCCTGCTATAGTCCCAGGGGTTGGGGGCTAATCCACATCTCAAGAGTCGACCATCTTGATGTTGTTTTATTTTTACTCGCCACGCAAGTGGCCAGCGGTCTTGGCGAAAGGAGAGGTGTGTCAACCTCGTACAAGACACTGAAATTGCACCCATGTGCGCTGTGCACATTTCAACAGAGTGAAAATTGCTCGGGGAGAGGCTGTCCACCCAGTTCGTTTCAAGGAGGAAATGTCTCTGGGGAAGCAGATAAGGAACCGAGCCAAGCGTTCGATGAATATTCATGAAAAGAATGCGGACCCTAGTCACGCATTGTGTGTGCGCGAACGGATCCAGGGATTCTGAAATTTTTCTTTTTCTGGTGACGGGAAGCGGGAACTGGACGTCGGCTTTCAGCTTCGGAGCTACAAGCAAAATCTACAAAACCCAAAAATCTTTGCTCCGAGCTGGGCTGCGCTGGTCAGGGCCGCGCGCGCTGTCAGGTTCAAGCCCACACCCCCAAGGCTGGGGCGGCGGTGGAGGCGCGCTGCGCGTTCTCCGAGCGCAAGGCTCAAAAAAAATAAAACGCTGGAGACGGCCACAGGTTAGAGGTAGGGCAGCTCCGCCGCGCATCAGGCTGGGGCTCTGATCTGCTCCAAGCCTGCACAGTACCTTCTTGAACCTCGTGCTCCTTGGTTACCCCAAACCAAGATCCAGGGGTCCCCCGGACCCAGGAAAGCCCTTTGCCAAGCCAACCCCCACCCCTTGCGATCTGACCAGATTCCTCGTCTTCTTTCTCCCGCCCCACCCCACCCCCACGCTCCATCTTTAGCTGCTGCGCCCCTCACATCAAGCTCTTTCTCTCTGGCTGCGAACCTCTCCGATGACAGAGGGAGGGGTTCAGCCCACAAAAAAAGTGTCTGGGAGATCGGATGCTTTTCGCATAGGGCAAGTCCCGGGTCACCAGCTGCTTCCCCACCCTCAGCCCCCTCCCTCCCAAACCCCCTTTATCAGCCTCACCACCCTCCTCAAGCCCCCCACCCTGTTACTGATGGCCGAAGCCGACCATCTGGGGTGGGTGGCATCACCCTGGATCCCCAAAGTGCGACGGAGCCTTCTTAGAGGGACCCCACGCCCACTGCCGTCTGGTCCAGGCCGCACCCTGGCGGCACCGATGGAGAACCCGGGGCTTGGGGTGGGGCGGGGCCCGCTGGGGGACCCGTGTCCTCGAGTCCGCGGTGGCGGCGAGGCCACCCCGCGCCGCCTCCTTACCCGCTTTGGGTGCCTGTGCCGCCCCTGGGTGAGCGCGGAGCCGCCGAGGGGCCCGGGTGGCTGGCGTCCTCAGGCCCGCTGCCTGGCCGCTGGGCGATGACTCTCTCCGGCTCGACGGCGGAGTCCGGAGCGTGGAGCGAGTTGGAGCGCTGCCGCCGCCGCCGTCGCCGCTGCCGCTACTGCCGCCGCCGCCGCTGCAGCCTCTGCATTTCTCGCTCTCGCGCTCCCCCTCCCCTTCCTGCCCAGCGCCCTCCCCCGGCGCGTCCGCCCGCCCAGCTCCTCCGTCGACCCCGCCCTCCGTGCTCCAGCCCCCTCCCGCCTCCCTGCAAGCCCCGCCACCCCGCCCGAGAGCTCCCCTCCTCCTGCCGCCCCTCCTCCCGAGACCCCCGAAATCCACGCGCCCCCCTCACCTCACCACACCCACAAAGTCACCCCATCCTTAGCTCCTCTCTGCATCCTGATCCCTCCAATCAGGTGCCCCCGTCCGCCTTCCCTCCACACCTTCTATCATCTCCCCCTCCTCTTTAGGCCCCTTCATCCCCCACCAGCCA